GGGGGGGGGGGAATCAGAATCTCTCTCCATATGTTCCCCAGCATAATACCAGGATTGTGTTGCCAGGGCTAAAGGAGCTGAACACATCGTGGAAATCAGAAGCCGTCATTTAACTTTACAAGCCTAGTAAAATACAGTATGGCACTGATCCTGCTTTGTTACACAACGCGTTAAACTTGTGACGGTTAAATAGTTTAATAAAACTTACATTAGCTTTCTTTGATTTTTATAGCCTTGAATTTATTGCCTGTGGAAAAGAAAGGGGGGAAAAAGGGACTCTTTCACATTTTAGACTATGGTTTACCTCTCCCGCCCACTATACCTTCCTATGCATCTATGTATGTCCTGTATGTGTTTAAACTCACAAACCCCGCTTGTGTGTAAGTATGATTTTTCTCAGACTGACTGGGTTTCTTTGGCTAGGAATGAAGCAAGCGCTTAGCACAGGGCTTGCAGCAGAGGCAGCCCCTAACTAGCCTGATTATGTGGCGGTAGCAGGGGCTGCGCTACCAAGGTATGCTGTCAGATGCGTTTGTTTTAAGACAGTCCAGTGATTTATTTTTTTTAATGTAGAGGAAGGGAAAGGTGGATGCTGTGCTTAGGGGCAAATGTAGCCCTGGACTTCAGCTAACTGCAGCCAGCATGGATTCGCCTCTGTGTGGACTTGTCCCTGTAACACAGCCTTCCTGGGAAAGCGAATGGACCATAGGTGCCTGGAAATGATACAGCGATACTAATCCGTTCCCCGTTCCTTGCACCCTCGTGCCTAGTTGGTGTAAACCTCCAGGAGCTGAATAAGAACCAAATGCTGGCTTCCAAGTAGCCGCCTTGAAATTAAAGGAAAGCAAACCTCTCGCTCCTTTTCCGCAGAGCGCATCTCTCCCGCATCTCAGCGCCTGTGCTTGCAGGGCATGTCTGGCAGACCGAGGTGTTTTACTGCGACTGGAAAATGATAAAGGCACTGAAAAATCCCAGCTCCAACCCTTTCCATTTCTGCCCCCTTAATTCCTATCAGTTGTGTCTCCCGGAAGCAGCTGCCCTCTGGTTTGTTAGTACGATGTATTTCCAAGTGTCCCGCTCTGTGTTCCTCTGCCTGGGTCGCTATTGGGAAATGCGTTATTTTCTTTAAATGATCTGACCGGGCTGGAGGCTCAGGCTATGAGATATTGACTCTTACGGTTAACATCTCTGAATCAGGACATGAATCTAGGGATAGTTCCCCTCCCCAGCCCCCGCAAATAGAAGCGCCCATCTTTCCTTTGGTTGAAGATCACTGCGATGTTTTTGTAGCCGCTTAGCTGCAAAGGTTGCGAGAGTAAATTTACCCAGGTGAGGGTCCCGGCTGGCTAGCAGTCCGCTCTCCTTGACATCGGGATAAATCCGAAGTAGCTCCTTTTCTGTCCCAATGGCTTTGCCCCGGTGGAAGAGCAGCATTCTCCCCTGCTGAGTATCTCGGGGCTCCTACCTAAACCCAGAGACCTTACAGTGTCAGTGCGAGCAGGGGCAAGCCTCCTTTCAAACCTTTTTTCTAAGGGGACCGTGTCACAAAAACGGGCTGGTGCGAAACACCTTGGGTAATCCCTCATTTTGGTTCCCCCCTGTTTTCTTTTTCCTTTAGCCCCTAAAGTTCCTCAAGAGTTAGGGAGGTTTGGAACTGGAAAGACCCCCGTGTCATTAAAAAGTGAAATACGACCTCTCTGCGGACATTGTCATATTTCTCCGCTTTATTGCCTTTCAGAAATGATTTTTTAAAATCAATCTGTGGCAGCACACATCTCCAGGACCTCCCCGACTCCCAGGGCAGCGTGTCCAGGCGAGGACTGACGGACGGGGTAGGGTGGCGATCCCTCTCGCTTTGTTGACCAAAGTGTGTCTGTGTGTGCGTACATATATGTGTGCATGTGTGTATCAACCGTGGGGATGCGGGTGCAATCGTTGTGTGTGAAATTCGTGATCACTGATTGAGGCCAAGCACCTGTTCTGTGGGCGCGAGGTGAAATGGGGCGCATCTTACCTGGAATAAAGATACAGCAAACACTCTAGCCTTACTACACCATTGGAAAAGACAGCTCAGAAACCCCGAGTGCCCCTCCGCTGAGGCATGTCAGCCTCTGAGTATATAATTTTCTGTAGTATATAAATCCAAGCCCCGAAGACTCCTAGAGTGTGACTCTGAATTAGGATCCGAAGGGCTCGAGGTCCCCAGTGGGTAGGGCTCGCACAAGGCGTTCTGCAAAATCCATTTACCTTCGCTACTTTGGAGGTTGCTCTTGGTCCAGAAGTTGATTTTTTTCACACATATATGACCATATCTCATCTCCTTGTATCCTTTTTTTCCCCCGAAGCGCAGGGGCTGAGGAGGGGTGTCCTTCCATTACAGTTCTACCTTAATACCAAATCTGTCTGTTTGGAGTCCTCTGGTGCTATTTTTTTAACGGCTTTACATTGCAGGGGATGAAAAACAAAAAGCCAAAAATAACACACAACCAGAAATCGCATGAAAACCTCTTTTGTTCGCCAATAACTTTGGTCAAGGAAAAGCAGACAAGGAGAAGCTGACCTCACTCGGGCTTCTACAAGTAAATTGGTCTAATGCAACTTTGGTCCATGTGGACAGAGGAGAGAAAAGTTCTGCCGGGGCTTGTTGGCTAGCTGGACTCTTCTCAGAGCTGTGCATTTGTGGACCGGATTCAGGAAACTCAACTGGAATAGTTATTTAAAGAGGGTTGGGGGGAGCCCTGAAATGGAAACTTTTTCTTGTGACCAGAATCGATGCCAAAGTTTCTAAGCGGAATTTGCCTGTGGAGAAAAGAAGTCGAAACAGGTTTTGTCTGAGCTGGAAAGCCAAAAGGGATTGTTGTTTTTTAAACTCAGTTACTGTTTATAAATATACTTTATTGTTTATAGGGTGGGGAAGAGATGATTTCCAAAGAGCATTTCTCATTGAAATACACACCTCCTCTGCTCGGTTTCATCAGGAACAATCAGCTGGGTGGGTTGATACCTTTATACTAGGAACCGTTAAATATAACATGCTTTCTAAATTTGTAGACCGTAACTCAGTGTTATAGTCACATTTTTCTGATTTATCAGCATAAGGGGGACAAAACAAGACGACGACCCATTTCTTGCCGGAAACATATTTAAACACTTTTTTGGAGGGGGGTGTTGTTGTCAGTGATTAGGTATGGCACCTTCCCGCCCATATGATTTCGCTTCTTGATCATGAATGAGGGGAAGGTGGGAAAATGCTGAAGGTGCAAATGCTCTAATCCCGTGTCCTTTACTTAGGTTAGTTAGTGACTAAGGACTGGGAAATTGGACCCAGGGTGTCTGAGCCTGGGGCCAACATGGCGTCGATGTACAACATGTCTCATTTAAGAGAAAATCCTGCAGTTCAATGCAAAATATTTAAGGCTACTAGAGCTTGAATAAAAGTTAGGAGTGAACTTCATAGCTCTGGAGAGTTAGGAGGGCAGATTGCAAGATAACCCGAACCCCAAATCTCTCATTTTGCAGCTGTGAAAAACATTTCACTTTAAAAAAAAAAAAACCCTAACAACTGACTTTCTTGAAAGAGCCAGGAAACCGAAATCAAAACTCAGCATAAAGCAAAGCAGGATTTATGAATGATACATTTACACAGGTCTAAGAGGGGCTGAAAGGAACTTTAGTCAGGAGTCCTTGCCAAACGCAAGAGGAGGGCGAGACACTCGCACACAAAAAAGTTCCTGAGCAGGAAAAAAAAAGCACCCCTTAAAAAAAAAGTGAAATAAGTTTCTGTGGCTTAAAAGCAGAGGGATCTACCTTTACCATTTCCTGTGCTAGCTCTCAGCTTGAATGCTGCCGTCTGTTAAAAAGCCGTAAGTGGTGAGGGGGGAAAAATTCCTTGTCTGAAGAGAAGCAAAACAACTTACACATGTGGGCAGGTTTCCAAGGGCTGAAACTATACTCTGGCTAAAAAACACAATTCCAAATGAGGTTTGTAACCTTAGCAGTTAATAAAGCATTTAGATCCCTTGTAAAGTAAAAGCGTATGTGCGTTTGAAAAGTACAAGGAGAGGAAAGAAAGTTTGATGGTCCTTTGGAAGCAAGATTTTGGCTTCCAGACGGTCTCCCCCCCTTTAAACTCAGTAACAATCTTTGCAAAAACGGGGCGCTTCAGCCTGCCCTGAAAGTAGGTGGATTTCGCACCCGTTGGTTTTAATGGAGCGGTTTTC